TAAAACTGCATGAAAATCATCAGCAGAAATGTTTTTCTTTTCAAAGGCGAAGGGATAGAGGGAAAGAAAGAAAAGATGGTCTTTGCTTTCTTGCCCTTTCTCTTTTTTAATGATAAAGTAGAGAGAGATAGGATGAAGAAGTATGCTTGGAAAGGATGTGCTTAAAAGAAAAGGAGTTCACACAAGAAAGATCCCAATTTTTCTAAATTTCTTTTTAGGGATGAACCCAATCATGTCTACACTACAAGAAAAACTTCCTACCCCCGTTGCATTGTCTCATTTTTCCTATCTTTTTTTACACTTGTTGCATTGTCTCCTTCTTCCTATCTCTCTCCTCATCATGGCCACATTACAAGAAAAACTTCCCTACCCTCATTGCATTGTCCCCTTCTTCCTATCTCTTCTTACCCCCATTGCATTGCCTCCTTATTGAGGAGAGAGATGAAAAAAGAAAGAGACAATGCAACCAGATCCGGAAGTTTTTATCCTACACTACACACTTCTTCAAGACTTCAAGTCAATTTGTTGTTTTGGGCTGTAAAGGCTACTTGAATTTGTAGGTTGGGCTTTCATTTTTGGCCTCTCAATCAAAATATCCAAAATTTTATCCCAATTCCTCTCCCAACCTTAGAAAAGTAAGGGGCTAAAATTTGGGAAACCCCAAACTTGGGGTAAATACCAATCCAACTATTGCTTGGATTGGAAAACTTTTTGGTGGAGCCCACTTAAGGCTAACGCAGCCCATGTGCAAAGAGAAATTAATGGGGCGCCATGTGTCGCGATGCTGATGTTGCAAAAGCTGTCGCGCACTGGTGTCACAATACTTTTTTTTATTCCAACAATAACCCAAATCAACGATCCATATTAAATCCAAGTTATTATTTTAACGGTAAAAAAAGAGCCCATGACTGAAATTTAAATCCAACGGTTAAAATAATATTTTAAATTAATCTAAATCATATCCAACCTCAAAACTCACTCCAAACTCTATAAATACCCACCTATTTATCAAATAAAATTATATTTATGAAATTTCATTGATCAAATTGTTCAAAAAAAAAATATTATGAAGTTATTTAAAAAGATTAAAGAAAGAAAAATTAGACTTATACTATTCTTAAACAATTTAATAAAGTTGCGGATTTAAAATTTGAGTCTAAAAAGTTGGGGGAAAAAACGGTTTGAGTTCGAGCAAAACCCAAATACTTATTTTTTGAAAGAGGGAAATTTGAGTTTATGACCAAATGGGTTGGAGAAGGCCTTAAGAGACCTTTCTTCTCTTCAAAAGATAGAATAAATGAAAACAAACCCTTCATTGATGTGTGCTGGGCTTTAATGTTAGATGGTTTGACCCAATATTAATGAATCAAGAAAAAAAGTAGATCCACCAAGTTGGGCCTGTCTGCCTCAGCATTTGAGTTTCCACCCAGTTTAGAATCCCGACCCATGACCCGACCCAGAAAAGTCCGTCACTCTATAGTTTTGTTTGTCTCCCGCTTCTCACCTATTTTCAGACTTTCAAGCCGCCGAAAATTTTAGTCCGATCAAAGCTCCCTATAACATGCCGTAACAATGAGACATAGAAACCACACAAATTTGCGTCTTTGCCATTGCCATGGTCGACTTCCCCAAATCTCTATCTCCGAAGCGAGTTCTGAAGCTCCTCCAAGCCGAAAAGAACCCGCACTCCGCCCTTGCTCTGCTCGACTCAGCGAGTCGCCACCCGAACTACAGCCATTCGCCCGACGTCTTCCACCACATCCTCCGCCGCCTCATCGACCCGAAACTTGTGGCCCACGTCGACCGGGTCGTCGAGCTGATTCGGACCCAGAAATGCAAGTGCCCCGAGGACGTGGCATTGACTGTGATCAAAGCCTATGCGAAAAACTCAATGCCCGATAAAGCTTTGGCTGTGTTTCAACAAATGGAAGATATTTTTGGGTGCACGCCTGGTATAAGGTCGTACAATTCGCTGCTCAATGCTTTCATTGAGTCCAACCAGTGGGAACGAGCTGAGAAGTTTTTCGCTTATTTTGAAACGGTGGGTTTGTCGCCGAATTTGCAGACTTATAATATTTTGATCAAGATTTCGTGTAAGAAGAAGCAGTTTGAGAAGGCCAAAGCGTTGCTAAGTTGGATGTGGGAAAAGGGTTTGAAGCCTGATGCGTTTAGTTATGGGACTTTGATCAACGGGCTTGCGAAAAGTGGGAACTTGTGTGATGCTTTGGAGGTGTTTGATGAAATGGTTGACAGAGGAGTTAGTCCTGATGTGATGTGCTATAATATTTTGATTGATGGGTTTTTCAGGAAAGGCGATAGTGTGAATGCTAATGAGATTTGGGATAGGCTGGTAAAGGACTCAGAGGTTTATCCTAATGTTGTTACTTATAATGTTATGATCAATGGTTTATGCAAATGTGGGAAGTTCAATGAGAGTTTGGACATATGGAATAGGATGAAGAAAAATGAAAGAGGGCCTGATTTGTTCACTTGTAGTTCTTTGATTCAAGGGTTATGTGAAGCAGGGAATGCTGATGGAGCTGAGAGAGTTTATAAAGAGATGGTTGGGAAAGGGGTATCACCGGATGTGGTTGTCTATAATGCAATGCTCAATGGGTTCTGTCGAGCTGGGAAGGTCAAAGAGTGCTTTGAGTTGTGGGAGGTGATGGAGAAGTGCGGTTGTCATAATGTTGTGAGTTATAACATATTCATTAGAGGGTTATTTGAAAACGGGAAGGGCGAAGAAGCAATTTCTGTCTGGGAACTAATGCATGAGAAGAGTTGTGTTGCAGATTCCACAACCTATGGAGTATTAATCCACGGACTCTGTAAGAATGGGTACTTGAACAAAGCTTTATGGATTTTAAAAGAGGCAGAAAATACAAGAGCTGACCTGGATGCCTTTGCTTATTCCTCAATGATTAATTGGTTATGCAAGGAAGGGAAACTAGATGAAGCAGCCAGGCTAGTTGGTCAGATGGATAAGTGTGGCTATGAACCGAATTCTCATGTTTGCAATGCATTGATATATGGGTTTATCCGAGCTTCCAAACTTGAAGATGCCATTTTCATTTTTAGGGGAATGCGTACAAAATTTTGCTCTCCAAATGTCATCTCCTACAATACTCTCATAAATGGATTATGCAAAGCAAAAAGATTTAGTGACGCATATGTGTTTGTGAGGGAAATGCTGGAAGAAGGATGGAAGCCAGATATGATCACATATAGCTTGTTAATGGATGGTCTTTGTCAAGACAGGAAGATTGACATGGCCCTCAACTTGTGGCATCAAGCTCTTGACAAGGGATCTGAGCCTGATGTAACTATGCATAACATTATAATTCATGGGCTTTGCTCTGCGGGCAAAGCTGAAGATGCTTTGCAGCTTTATTTTCAGATGGGGCGTTGGAACTGTGTTCCAAATCTTGTGACCTACAACACCTTGATGGAGGGGTTTTACAAAATCAGAGACTGTGAAAAGGCATCAGAAATTTGGGCCCGCATTTTTAAAGACGGGCTACAACCAGATATCATCTCCTATAATGTTACACTAAAAGGGTTTTGTTCATGCAGCAGAATATCAGATGCCATTAGGTTTTTAGAAAAGGCTTTGCATCTTGGAATTCTTCCAACTTCCATAACGTGGTACATACTTGTTAGGGCAGTGCTCAACTATGGGGCCACTTAGTACTCTTCTTGGGTATAAAGTAGCATGGAAATAATTCATCCCATGCATTGCTTCATCTGGTATTGTACGAGGAGTCTCTTTTCAGATTTTGTTTGGCATTGGGAGACTTTAAGATTCCATGTGGTGACAAAAACCACCTGTGGAACTATGTTGCTTCGCTAGTCAGTAGATGCTGGGATATCTATTGATAATGAATATGCACAACGAAATATTCTTCAACATGCTTTTCTTTTGAAAGTGACATAAGGTATGAATGAATTGTACACTGTTTATATTTGTTTCTTGGGTTTGTTGCATACTCATTAATAGCTGTTCCCTGGTGCAGGTTGGATGCCGAGTTCTTTTATTGATCAGGTCACTATTTGGCAGAAGTGTGAGTTTTCCAGAATTTGGATCGCCAATCTTGCTCACCAGATTTTATTGTCTATAGCCAATCAGTTCTCAAATCTGCGTCTATATGCATTTTATTGCTGAGTAGTGGGTTTAAGAACATATAGAAGCTCATGTCGAAAAAATTATTAATTAAAAAATCGTGAAGCATGTCTGGCATGAATTATAATAATTAAAAGTTCATGAAGCATCATATATGGTAACTCAGTGCCATAGTTTTTGGTGATTGCAGTAATATCACCAAGATCACCTTTTGATGATGCAAAAGCAAAGTGGCTTGATGTATCAAACCCAAGCTGTGAGATTTACTTGGGGTTATTTATCATGCTACATGTGTGTAGATGACAGTAGCACAGGTCCTGATGCAGTTTGGATGCCAATTTCTTTTATGCATGCTGGATGAGACGTCAAGTCAGCATTTGGTACAAGTGTGACTTTCACACAATCTGTATCAACAACCTTCCTCACCAGACTTTAATGTCTGTAGCCAATCAGTTCTCAATTATGGGTTAACATGCATTTAGTTGTACACTACTGGGTTTAATTTAAGAACATTTAGAAGGTCATATAGAAAACCATATTAATTAAAAAATCTGAAGGCGTGCTTGGCATGATCCATTGTAATTAAAAGTTCATGAAGCATCATATATGTAACTCAGTTACATAGTTTTTGGTGATTGCAGTACATCACCAAGATCACCTTTTGATGATGCAAAAGCAAGGCTCGACGTATCAAACCCAAGTTGTAAGATTTACTTGGGTTTATTAATCATGCTATATTTGTGTAGCTGGGAAGTAGTGCTTTGTCCTTTGATCAGGAAAAGCATGGTATATTTGTGTAGACCCAAGCTATGTTTATGTAAAATAGTTAAGGCTGAACATTTTAAAGCATAATGTTTTTGCTTCATGAGTAAGACAAGCATCACCTTCTTTCTTCCTCTGTTTTCCCCTCTTCTGTTATTTCTGTTTCTGATAACATTTTCTGCTCATAGATGACCTGAGCAACCAAACCCACAAAAATTGCCCCGAGAACTGCAACTTTTCTCCAATCAGGCGTTGAAGTGATGAAGGATTCAACGATTTGTATGAGTAGCAGGCCAATCAGTGCAACATAAATGTTCCTCCTGGTTTCTGATCCTGCACTTTTTTTGGTAAGCTTCTTGATCTTCTTTGTTTCCTCCGTAGCATCCACTTTTTCCTTCGGTTTCCCCTGTGTCAGATTCTTAAAAAATAACCCTTCATTGCGTTCTTTGTCAATCTCACCTTCGAATGCTGCTAACTCGTTCTCATTTTTCTCCATCTCCTCAATGTTAATTCCTGCAGATTCCTCGAAGGCCTGCATGCGGCTGTTTATATTCTCCATAATCTGCTAATCACAAATGAATAAGAATTGGATTATCAACAGAATTGCATAGCAAGCCCCATTTTTAAAAATCTTTTAACGCTATTGCATTTACTAGGAACGTAAACAGACCCTAGTACTGGCTTCATCCAGGTCTTTGAGGGCGTCTTCTCCAATCTTGTCAAACTCAGCGGTGGCCTCTTCTCCAAATTTGGTAAGATATTCGGATCTTTCGTCTAAGTAATCGGTGAGACGGACTTTCTGAGCTTGAAGCATTGCTATCCTCACCAGCAGGTCCTGCTTGCGAGTATCTCCTTGCGGTGGGGAAGCTTCTGACGCAGAATCAGAATCACTGGACTTGCTGAAGCGCAAGATGGAATTCTTAGCATTGGAAAGTCTTCCTGTGTGTAAAATGTTATGCTTGGTGGTGGTGAAAGAGGTTTGAATGAGCTTGAGGCCAATCATCTTCTCTGCCTTCAGTGTTGGCTTTGAGTTTGGATAAAGGAGAGGGAGAAATAGAAGGAGAAAGAGAAGGACAGATTTTTTATATGTTGTTTTTAGGTCCTTCTGAGCCTCTCATGTGGTGTTACATTATCCATTAGTATAAATAGTTGTTTCTTACACATGAATGTTTCTTAAAATGTGGGTTTTTATCACCTAATTGTGTAAAGAAAAAGAATATATTGTAAACCCAAAAGAATGACCTGATGGGCTGGAACAGCAGTCCCTGTGCATGAGGTGAAAACTATTCATTTTTTTAAGGCTTATTTACTGTTTCACCCTTGGAACTTGAGCTCACTCTCACTTTAAAACCCGGAACTCAAATTTCCTCATTTTACCCATTGAATCTCTAAAAATTGCTGAAATTTTCTCACTTTACTACTTCCTTTTACAAAACCATTAAGGCCCCGTTTGGTTCACGGAATGGATTTGAGAGGAAAACATTTTCCATGTCATTTCCCAAGGAATGAGAATGAAAGATTCATTTCCCATGTTTGGTAATGTTGGGAAAGTAACCGGGAGATTTCACTTTGTTTCCTTTCCCATGTTTGTTTTAAGTAGGAATGGAAAACAACGTTTGTATAATTTTCCAATTATATCCATATTAAATCAAATAAAAAAAGAATGCATTTAATGATACGTTGTAATTATAAATTGTTCATAAGGACAAAATAGTCATGAAAATTGTGCATTGAATGTTGGCTCATTTTCCCAAACTTTCCCATAAGGAGGGAAAACAAAACCCAAGTTAAGAGGAAGGATTTACTTTCCCCCCTACTTTCCCATATGCCAGGAAAACATTTCCCATGCCTGGACTTACCAAACATGGGAAAACAATTGAATTCCCATTCTCAAGCCTCATTTCCCATGAACCAAATGGGGCCTAAGTGTGCCGAGGTGGCATGGGCATTCTTGTAATTTTAGCCCTTCTATCTTCTCTCTTCTCTATGCCTCTCTCTCTCTCTCTCTCTCTCTCTCTCTCTCTCTCTCTCTCTCATCCCTTCCCCAGACCCATTCCCCAACGCACCTTACACCCTTCCCTCTCTCTAGCTCTCTTCTCTCCCATCCTATCCTCAGACCTTACCCCTAGCGCTCCTCCATTGCATCCCAACCCTCCCATCTTCTTTCTTCTCTATACCTCTTTCTCCCACTCTCACTCTCTCTATTGAGAGAAGATGGGGAGTGACTGTCAAGGAGATTTAAAAAAAAAAATTTGAGTGGTGGTGGTTTGGGTGTGTTGAGTAATTCCATGGAGGGTTAAGTCTGGGGTGAGGGTTGGCCCTAGGAAGGGGAGAGGAGAGAAGAAAGAGGCAGAGAGAGTGAGAGTGAGAAAGATAAAAAGAGAGGCAGAGGGAAGGGGTGGGGTGCGATGGAGGTGCTCTGGGGGTTAGGATGGGAGAAAAGAGAGAGGCAGAGAGAAGATAGAAGAGATAAGAGGGGGAGGGGGTGGGTGCGATGAGGGTTGGGTTGGGTGGGGAGAGAGAGAGAGAGAGAGAGAGAGAGAGAGAGAGAGAGAGTGTTGAGGGGAGGGGGTAACATTTCGAGACAGAGTGGAAGAATAAGGGTAAAGTGAGGAAATTTGAGTTCCGGGTAGTTAAGTGAGAGCGAGCTCGAGTTCTAGGGGGTGAAACAATAAATAGGCCTTATTATTATTTTTTTATTTTTTAAATAAATGCAAGCAATAGTCTAAATTATTTTAAATTAACCAATCTATGGAGATGAGGACTCAAATTTGAATGCAAAGGGGCGAACACACTCCCTGGCCAATTGGCCTAACCCGCAAGGTGAAAATTGTATTCATAATCAAGCTAATACAACTCCAGATGTAGATTTGTTTCTTTTACTAATTTGAACAAAATCTGCTTATAAATTGAAAACAAAAGCGAAATCTGCTTACAAAGAAATAATTGACACAAAAACATGGTGGATTAATTGCCCTAAAGTCGAGCAATTAAGAAAAAATTAAAAAACACCAGTAATCTATTTTGAAATTAACACACAAATTCCCAAACAATATTTTCAACTTAGAAACAAAACAAAACCAAAAAAAACAAAAAAAAAAAAAAAAAAAAAAAAAAAAAAAAAAAAAAGAAGAAGAAGAAGAAAAGAAACTACAATGGCAGACCAGCAAGAAGATTCACAAGCGCCAGTCTCCTCCTAGTGGCTTTCTGCTGTAACCTCTATCAGTTCGTCCGCCCTGTTACCTTCTTGTAAGTATACCACTTAGCAATCCACAGATACACAAAGAAGTTGATGATGCTGAGGGCAGCCAAGAGCCAGTAAAAATAGTCAAGATGGCCTCTGTTCAAGTTATTTGGGATCCAACCCAGGTGCCCATTTCTTGTGGTAACTTTAGTTACCACAGTGAGAAGCAGAGAACTGAGGTAATTACCCAAAGCAACCGTGGTAAGTGAGAGAGCAGAGCACAAGCTTCTCATGGCGTCAGGTGCCTGGTCATAGAAAAACTCCAACTGTCCAATGAAAGTGAACACTTCTGCACATCCAATGATGAAATATTGAGGAACTTGCCAGAAAATTGACATGGGTATATACTCAAGGTCATAATAATTGTTCTTCCTCACAATGCCAAGCCTAGCAACTTCCAAAATCCCAGCAACAACCATGGAAAATATGGACAAGCCAAGGCCAATGCCCATCCTTTGCAGCTGGGTGAAGCCTCTTTCATGGCCAGTGAACCGCCTTGCCAATTTGACAATGACTTGGTCATATATAGGAGCCCAGAAAATGACACTGACTGTGTCAAAGAGGGAGAGGGAAGCTGATGGGATCTTGAAGTTTGGGCCCATGTGTTGGTCCATTGTGTTGCCTTGCAGCACAAACATTGTGCTCATTTGACTGTATACTGCAGCAAAGACTATCCCAGATGCCCATATTGGAAGCAATCTGATAATGGACTTTAGCTCCTCTACTTGAGTCACTGTGCAGAGCCTCCATGGATTTGGCAAGTCCTTGGCATGGTCAGTTTCTGATTCCACAGCAGCCTTGTCGAAGAACCTGAAATTCGACCAATATTATGTCGAGGCATAATCAAACAAACTTAAAGATTGAATATGGTTTTAAAATGAAAACTTTTCTGTAGCTTACTGAAATTCTAGCTGTGTGAGCTTACCTTAGCTTGTCTGTGTGCTCAAGCTTGCGGCTTCCTTGGATATTACACTCCTCATCTGGAGTCTCATAGAGAAGAGACTTGTCAGCTGGAACTTTTACATTGCATTTCCTGATGGATGCAAAAATGACCTGAATAATCCTTGTGAGGGGACTCCCTCCTGGTTTTTGAAGACGGTATAACTTGCTGCCCAAGAAAAAGAACACAACAGCAATGGCCATTGCAACTGCTGGGATTCCGAACCCCCAGTTCCATCCCACAGTCATTTGTATCCAGACCAAAACTGTGGAAGCAATAAGTGCACCAATATTGATTGACAAGTAAAACCAATTGAAGAATGAGCTCTTTTTCTTCCTCTCAGTCTCATCAGTTTCATCAAATTGATCTGCACCGAAGGTTGAAACGCATGGCTTGATTCCACCAGTGCCAAGTGCAATCATGTACAGTGCTACAAGGCAGGCTGCTCTTTGTGATGATGTTGCCTGGCAACCAGATTTATCGCACCGTGGTTTTAGTCCTTTGATGGAGGCAGTGAGTGTTAAGAAAGTCATCCCCTACAAAAACAGAACAATTCTTCAATAAATAGCCTCTTGGAGAAGAGCAAAAATCTATATTAAAATCAATGTCTAAATGTAACCAAAACAGCAAACAATAAAAAATCCATAGCGAAAAGTTTTGAGTGTGGCTAAAGAGTATGGCCAAGAATGAACATCAGCATGGTTTGACAAAACACAGATGAAAGTTATGGTTTTTATGTCAAATTGGATAACATGTGCACTAAAAGGCTTGACAGTAAAGTATAAACTTATCCATTTCAAACTTTCATGTCCCATATTCTGAGAGGAGAAGAGTTTTTATTTGGACCAAACTTACAAGAGCATAAATAACTGAAAAGATGGCAATTGTCCAATATCTTCCCAGGTATGCATCAGCTAGGAAGGCTCCTATCAATGGAGTGGCGTAGCACGTCCCGGACCAATTAGTGACAGTGGTTGATGCAGCGACATTTCCCATGCTGAGACGTTTCCCAAGATAGTTCACTAGATTGGTACTCATTCCATAGTATGCCAATCTTTCACAGCATTCATTTCCTGCAACAGAATTATGTAGTGATCAATATAGGCCCTACAGAGTACCATAAAGGGGATAATAAACAGAAAAGAAATGAATAACAAATAAAGCCATACCAAGAATAAAGCGGCATGCTCTCCAATTTCCAGTCTTCTTCTTGTTAGCAGGATTTTTATGGATGTCCACAGTCCCATCGTTCGTATAATCATCATCTTCCCCCATAGTGTGCTGCAGATTAGCTATCTTCCAAGTTCCTGGCCTTGTTTTTCTTAGTATCTAAAACCAAAGACACCTACAAAATCGCCATCATCATGTACACGCTAGATAAGAGCAATCATGAGAATTTTGAAAGTGAAAGCATTGGCTTGGATATATTCCACTCATTTGATAATGCTTAGGTTGGTTGCTGAAAAGCAAGTTAGGAATTATATGGCCAAACTCAAATCTAGATTCTCAAAATATGTAATTCGGAGCACGAATACGTCACCAAACACTTGAACATATAACAGAGCACATGTATGCCATATATAACCAAACCCAGGCCATCTATCTATTTTTTCTAACATAGATAATATGTATAATTCAAGCAGCATGTCACATGAAAACTCACAAAGTTTTTGCTTACGAGTCGAAAAAGAGCTTAAATTGCTAATTATTTATGGGTGGTGATTTTCTCACTCCTCTTTTGTCCACTTACACTCCCTTTTGTTTTTTAATAGTTTTTAAAATAACAAAAAAAGGAGTGTAAGTGGACAAAAGAGGAGTG